GAGCCCAGTTGTTTATGACACACACACACTGTTGGTGGCTAACCCAACAGGTATTCCCAGCCTCCTTACTCATGCCTCCATTAGGGCCTGGAAGAACTAAATAACTCGCTTTCTTAGATTCCCATGCAATGAGAGCGGGCCATGTGACACGGTTCTGGCCAATGAGATATAAGCAGGAATGTTTTGGGGGCTTCTGGGCAGGATATGTTGTTTCCTTTTATTATTTTTTTTAAGTTATTTTTTTTTTAATTTATTTGACAGACAGATCACAAGTAGGCAGAGAGAGAGAGGAGGAGGAGGCAGGCTCCCTGCCGAGCAGAGAGCCCGATGCGGGACTCGATCCCAGGACCCTGAGATCATGACCTGAGCCGAAGGCAGAGGCTTTAACCACTGAGCCACCCAGGCGCCCCTCCTTTTATTATTTTTTTTAAGATTTTGTTTATTTACAGACCGAGAACACAAGTAGGCAGAGAGGCAAGGCAGAGAGAGAGGGGGAGGATATGTTCTTTTCTAATAGGAGGGAATGAAATGACATTGACAATGGTTTGCTCGTAACATATCATCCTCTTTTTTATTGCCTTGGACGTGGATATTCCCTTTGGAGTTCTGACAGCTGCCTTGTGATCATGAGGTAGGTGGATAGTCATGAGATCAAAAATCCAACACACTCAGGGCAGCCAAGTAGGAGAGATGAGCCCGAGGGTTCTTGGAGAGTGAGCAGTTGAATCAAAGTCAGCAACCACCTCCATCAAGGCTCCATGTGTAAATACAAAACAAAACAAAGCAAAACAAAAACCCACCTGTTTGTTTAAGCCATCTTTATTCATGTTTTCTTTAACCTGCAGCTGAAAACATTCCTGATACATTGTTCAATAATTTGGAAAAGAGCTACAAAGTTGAGATTCAACAAAATAAGAGAGGGAGGAAAAAGGTAGAAATCTGTGAAAAAGAAATTTAAAAAAGAATTTAGAAAATTTAGTTGTTTGGAGGGGTGCCTGGCTGGCTCAGTTGGTAGAGCATGTGACTCTTGATCTCAGGGCTGGGAGTTCAACCCCAGGCTGGGCGTGGAACCTACTTCAAAAAAAAAAAAAATTAGCTGTTTGAAAGTCTTAATAAGCTAGACAAACCTCGTAAGAGTGATAGAAAAATATGTAAATGAGCAAAATATAGAATAAAAAGACAACTAAGTACTAACAAATTAAAAATATTTTAATAGGGCACCTGGTGACTTGGTCAGAAGAGCATGTGACTCTCCATCTTGGATTTGTGAGTTTGAGCCCCACATTGGGTATAGAGATTACTAAAAAATAAACTTTAAAATGGGCATAAGATTGGGACACCTGGGTGGCTCAGTTGGTTAAGCGTCTATATCTTGATTTAGGCTCAGGACATGATGTCACTCAGGGTCATGAGATGAAGCACCACATCAGGCTCTCTGCTGGGCATGGAGCCTGCTTAAGATTCTCTCTGCTAAAAAGGGAAAAAAAAAAAAAAGATTCTCTTTGCTGGGGCACCTGGGTGGCTCAGATGATTAAGCGTCTCCCTCATGCTCAGGCCATGATCCCAGGGTCCTTGGAATGAGCCCCACATACGGCTCCTGCCTCAGCAGGGAGCTTGCTTTTCCCTCTCCCCTGCTCATGCTCTCTCTGTCTCAAATGAATAAAAACCTTAAGAAAAAAAAAGAAAAATTTACTTTTTCCGCCTACTTCCCACCCCCGGCACGCAAATGCATGCATGCTCTCTCTCTCATAAACAAAATAAAATGGGCATAAGATCTAAATAGACATTTTTTAAAAGATTTTATTTATTTAGGGGTGCCTGGGTGGCTCAGTGGGTTAAAGCCTCTGCCTTCAGCTCAGGTCATGATCCCAGGGTCCTGGGATGGAGCCCTGTATCCGGCTCTCTGCTCCACAGGGAGCCTGCTTCTCTTTCTCTCTGCCTATGACCTCTGTCTGTCAAATAAATAAATAAAATCATAAATAAATAAATAACCAAACAAATAGCTTCACTGAGTTTCACCTTAAAGAATCTTCACCGTGAATGCATTTACACTGGTACAATTTTTTATAATTTTTTTTTTTTAATTTTATTTATTTGTCAGAGAGAGAGGGAGAGAGAGCGAGCACAGGCAGACAGAATGGCAGGCAGAGGCAGAGGGAGAAGCAGGTTCCCTGCAGAGCAAGGAGCCCGATGCGGGACTCGATCCCAGGACGCTGGGATCATGACCTGAGCCGAAGGCAGCTGCCTAACCAACTGAGCCACCCAGGCGTCCCTACACTGGTACAATTTTGACTTAATTTTCACACTAGACCTTTTTTTTTTTTAAATGACTCCTATGATTAATGCTTCACAAATCTTGAAATTGATTCAAACATCAGATTTCGAGATGTGTTTTTTACTAGGTGAAGTAATTTCCATAGTAAGAGTTTCATACTTTTCTCATCTCTCCTACCTCATTTCTCATTTTTACTTTTTAATGATTTTATTTATTGGAGTGCCTGGGTGGCTCAGTTGGTTAAGCATCTGCCTTTGGCTCAGGTCATGATCCTGGAGTCCCAGGATCGAGTCCCACATCGGGCTCTCTGCTCGGCAGGGAGTCTGCTTCTCCCACTGATCTCTCTCCTGTCATGCTCTCTCTCTCAAATAAATAAATAAATAAATAAATAAATAAATAAAATCTTAAAAAAAAAGAAAAGTAGGGCACCTGGATGGCTCAGTGGGTTAAGCCTCTGCCTTCGGCTCAGGTCATGATCTCGGGGTCCTGGAACCGAGCCCCGCATCGGGCTCTCTGCTCAGTGGGGAGCCTGCTTCCCCCTCTCTCTCTGCCTGCCTCTCTGCCTACTTGTGATCTGTCTGTTAAATAAATAAAATATAAAAAAAAAAGTAAAGTGGATTTGTTCCCTTGTATTAAAAAAAAGAGGCTTACATACAATAACTTCTCTCTAGAATAATGTTATAAGTTGGTAACTTGTTTGATCCCACTGTAAAGGTCAGCATTATTACTCTCCCCGACCTACCACATTTTACATTTTTGATGTCACTTTTTACATCTTTTTAAAAAAAGATTTTATTTTACTCATGAGAGACAGAGAGGGAGAGGCAGAGGGGGAAGCAGACTCCCCACCAAGCAGGGAACCCAATGTGGGACTCATCCCAGGACCCTCGGATCACAACCTAAACTGAAGGTAGACACTTAATTGACTGAGCCACCCAGGGGCCCACATTTTACATCTTTATATCTTGTGTATCCCTTACCAAATTATTACCCTTGTGGCTGCACATGGCCATCGATGTATGACCCACCTGCTTATGGCTGGGGCTGACCACTTCATGTGTGTATCTCTTCTCAACTCCATCTTTAGTGACTTCGAGATGGTATCTCGAAATCAGGTATGGTGGGAATATTGACACCCACAAAAATGGGCAAATGATACAAATCAGGTCTCCTTACCCCAATTCTCACAGGAAGATGTTTGCTGACATTACAGCCATCGTCCACCCCCCAGCTCCCTGCTCAGGAAGCAGGTAAAAGAAAGGTAAAGGAAGAGTTACTCCATCCTGTTCAAAGTCTCAGAAATACTTTTTTTTTTTTTTAACCTATAATGTATTATTTGTTTCAGGGTACAGGTCTGTGATTCATCAGGCAGTGCTCACCATACCACATACCCCCCATAGTCTCAGAAATACTTTACAGAGACTTAGGATACTTTCATTTACATCTACTTATAATATTTCCACCTCTACTTTAACTTGAACTTAGTCACATGGTGATTATAAGAATCCAGGGAGGCTGGGAAATGTAGTCTTTTAGCTGCCTACTGAAACCGTAAAAATATATAAACTCAGAGAAGTCACTCTGGTCCTCATCCTTTCCACCTCATTCCCTCTTACCCTGTGTTCATTAGTTTCTGGTTTAATCCGTGATTCTGTTTGGAAATAATAATTATAATAATGACAAACAAACACATAGCTTATTTCCCTTTTTTTTTTTTTTTTAAGATTTTATTTATTTATTTGACAGAGACAGAGAGAGAGAGGGAACACATGCAGGGGAGTAGCAGAGGGAGAAGCAGGCGCCCCGCTGAGCAGGGAGCCCGATGTAGGCCTCGATCCCAGGACCCTGGGATTGTGACCTGAGCTGAAGGCAGCCACTTAACAACTGAGCCACCCAGGTGCACCCCCATTTAAAAAAAAAAAAAAAAGATTTTATTAAAAAAAAATTTTTTTTAATAAAAAAATGGAAAAGATTTTATTTATTTGAGAGACAGAGAGAGAGAACAAGCAGGGAGGAGGGGCAGAGGGAGAGAGAGAGAAGGAAGGAGACTTCCTGCTGAGCAGGGAGCCATGGGGCTTGATCCCAGGACCTGGAGATCATGACCTGAGCTGAAGGTAGGCACTTAACTGACTCAGCCACCCAGGTGCCCCTAGTTTATTTCCCTTAACAAAAGATACACCTCACCTTATCTGAATCACCCAATATGTATCCTGGAAATTGTTCAATATCAGTCTTTAGAGATCTCCTTTTTTGGGGGGGGGTGCTTCATACTACTCCGCTGTGCAGATAAACTATAAACAGTCCCTGTAGGTAGGAATTTAAATTATTTAGCAGCATTTTGCTTTTACAAATAATACTGCATCTGGGGTGCCTGGGTGGCTCAGCCCGTTAAGCAGCTGACTTCCTTTCAGCTCAGATCATGAACTCTTGGGATCCTGGGATCAAGCTCCACATCCGGCTCCGTGTTCACTGGGTCGGCTTCAGGGTTCTCTCTAGACCTTCTGCCCTTCCACTCACCTGTCAAATAAATAAATCTTCTAAAAAATAATACTGCATTATTAAAAATAATCACTTGTGCATATGTTTTTCCATATTCATTGGTATTTATCTTTTCTAAGTAATCTCTCTGTGCAATGTTGGGCTTGAACTCACAACTCTGAGATCAAGAGTCACATGATGAGTTAGAGCCTAAGTCTTGTCATGGTAAGAGGATTCTTCCTCCACTATGTCAACTGGCACAGATGTTTCTCCTTCGTATGACGAAGATCAGGGATCTAAACTTATCCGAAAAGCTAGAGAGGCACCGTTTGTTCCCATTGGAATGGTGGGGTTTGCAACAATTGTTGTATATGGATTACATAAACTGAAGAGTGGGGGAAATACTAAAATGTCTGTTCCCCTGATCTACGTGCATATGGCAGCCCAAGGCTTTGTTGTAGGAGCAATGACCCTAGGTATGGGCTAGTTCACGTATAAGGAATTCTGGGCACTGCCTAAACCTTAGAAGAAGAAAAACTATCTTGGTTTTTTTGCTGGTGCTTGCTTTAGTTAGGCATCTCTCATTGAGTTTATATGTTTATGTTGAAAATAAATCTAAATGGGTCAGACAATAACCTGGTAATTTAAATATTGGCTTCCTCTCTTGTGGGCTCAATTTGCCTGGTAACCAAATTACCAGTAACCAGTTAATCTAGTTAGGTCATTCAGAGGAGTCATATTAGCACAAAAGAAACATGTCACTTTAAAAAAAATGTTTTTAAGATTTTTTTTTTTATTTATTTGCCAGAGAGCGCAAGAGAGCACAAGCTGGAGAAGCCCCAGGCAGAGGGAGAAGCAGACTCTCAAATGAGCAAGGAGCCTGATATGGGATTGGATCCCCAGACCCCGGGATCATGACCTCAGTTGAAGGCAGACGCTTAACGGACTGAGCCACCCAGACATTCTGAAACATGTCATTTTTTTTTTTTTAAGATTTTATTTATTTGACAGAGAGGTCACAAGTAGGCAGACAGAGAGAGGGGGAAGCAGGCTCCCCGCCGAGCAGATTTCCCGCCTTTCCAGAACCCGTTTCCTGGTCTCTTGATTTTTCAGGGCCAGCGTTGTCCCTAGAGCTGTCTGCGCCGCCCGCCTGCTTCCTGACCTCCGCTCACCCGCCAGCTCCCAGCTCCCTGGAAACCCCTCTGGCCAGGTCGCCGGCAACTGCCCGGCTGGGGAAGCCTGTGGACCTTGCCGCCCCATCTCCCGTATGGGACAGAAGGGAAGACTCCCTTCCTGAAACGTCTTTCCGCCCTTGGTTTCGTTTTGGTGCACCCTCCTGGTTTCCCCCCAGCCTTCCTAATTAATTGCACAAGTAGACCACTGTGTGTGTGTTTTAGATTTTTACTTATTTTGAGAGAGAGCGAGCGAGCAGGAGGAGGGACAGAAGGAGAGGGAGAAACAGACTCATTGCTGAGCAAGAAGCCCAGTGTGGGGCTGGATCCCACGATCCTGGGATCCAGACCTGAACGGAAGGCAGACGCCTAACAGACCGAGCCACCCAGCCGCCCCTGCCACTGTGCTCCAGGGATCTGAGTGGCTTGCCTCTGCTCACCTTGCACTCCTTTCTAGGGCTGTCTGGGCCATCCTTTATTTCTCTCTGGCTTTCTTGCTGGCTATACTCTCCAAACTGAGTGGGTATTCAAACTTGAGCCGGAGTGGTGGGTGTTCAGTGTGGTTCGCAATGTAGCCCGCATCAGAATCACGCGAGGATTGTTCACCCAGACGCTTGGGTTCTTCCCCCGCTCCGCCCCTACCCCGCCCCCCCGCTTTTCTGATTCCGTAGGCCTGGGGGTGGGGCCTGATAATTTGCATATCTAGCAAGTACCCAGGTGTATTTTCTAGAGTTCCATAACAAAGCACTCCAGACTGGGTGGCTTAAACCACAGAAATGTCTACACAGTTCTGGAAGCCTCAACTTAACTAATTACACCTGGAATGGCCCTATTTCCAAATAGTCACACTGAGATACCGGGAGTAAAGACTTCAGTAAATGAATTTGGGAAGGCACAATTCAACTCATAACACCAATAACACCAGGTGATGCTGATGTTGCTTCAAACCACTAATCTGATCACGTTGTCCTTTAAAGAGTTTCAGTTGCTGCCCACGGCCCTCAAGGTGAGTCGAAGGTCTTTGCTTGGCATTGAAGGCCCATCAAAATCAGGTCCTTGGTCCTTGGCCACTTGCCCTTTCACTACCCTGGCTCAGACTGCTTATGGTGCTACCCTGAATGCGCTCACCATCCTGCTTTGATGAATTCTTCCACGCTTGGCCCATGTGTCACTGAACATTCTGTTATCCGTGCTCACCATACGTTCCTAAGGCCCAGCACAGGGTCTGACACAGTGTTCAATACATTTTTGTTGAATGAATGGATGAAGACAATTATTTTCAAGACTTAAAAAAGGTCAAATTTAATTTTTTTAAAGATTTTATTTATTTATTTGACTGACAGAGATCACAAGTAGGCAGAGAGGCAGGCAGAGACAGAGAGAGAGAGAGAGAGAGAGAGAGAGAGAGAGAGGAGGAAGCAGGCTCCCCGCCGAGCAGAGAGCCCCATGCGGGGCTCGATCCCAGGATGCTGGGATCATGACCCGAGCCAAAGGCAGAGGCCCTAACATACTGAGCCACCCAGGCGCCCCAGGTCAAATTTAATTTTTTTTTTTAAAAGATTTTATTTATTTATTTGACAGACAGAGATCACAAGTAGGCAGAGAGGCAGGCAGAGAGAGAGAGAGAGAGAGAGAGAGGAGAAAGCAGGCTCCCTGCTGAGCAGAGAGCCCGATGTGGTGCTAGATCCCAGGACCCTGGGATCATGACCTGAGCCGAAGGCAGAGGCTTTAACCCACCGAGCCACCCAGGCGCCCCCAAATTTAATTTTCAATTCAAGATAAATTTTACCTTGGAGTGTCAATTATAAAACAAAATGAAAACAAAAAAAATGAGACTGTTTGAATCGGGCATCTTACTTCCCTGCAAATCTGGCTTCTGCCCTGCCCCCAGGTGGTGATTCTAGGCCTAGCAGGAAAACGAACTAAGGAATTTCCGGCAACCGGAGAGTGGTGACTAAGCGTCATTTACATACCCACAATGCCCTGCACCCATGGTATTTATTATTTTAAACCGGCTAGATTTTTCTTTTTCTTTCGACTTTTTTTTTCCCCCCCTCTCTAGAAATCAGACTGCTATCACAGAATTGACTGAGATGAAGGCAGATGTCCGTGGCTCTTTTGGATAAATAATTACCATTGCTGTTCTAGGAGTGACAGTCACCCGAGGGCTGTGTGAGAGGTACCCCGAGTATGCTCTGGTTTCTCTTCAGATCGTATAAATCTTTCGCCTTTTACTAAAGATTTCCGTGGAGAGGAACAATTCTGAGTGTTTACCCAATTTTTTGAGGCCTTGTATTTGCAAGGCTTACAAACGTGTGTGAAAAAGTAAGACTTGATCTTGGAATGATACGTGGGTGTTTTGCTTTTGTATTTTAGTGATTCTGATCTCCCTAAAGAACTATATGTTATAAGTTGGTGTTTCTTTAGCTTAGAGTGAACAGTCATTCAATACATGTTTATTATTAGCGGAATGTTTATTAGTCGTTTTTGCTGAGGTTTTTTGAACAAAACTTTTTTAACTTCCAGCTTAGCAAAAAGAGGGGAGCAGCTGCAGTGAGAAGAAGCAGGCTCCCCCACTGAGAAAGGAGCCCCATGCTGGGGCTTCATCTGACGGTGGGATCATGACCTCAGAGAAAGGCAGACACCCCACCGAGCCACCTGGGTTCCCCTGAATTAACGCTTTTTTTTTTTTTTTTTTCTTTTAAAGATTTATTTGACAGAGATCACAAGTAGGCCGAGAGGCAGGTAGAGATGGAGAGGGGGGAAGCAGGCTCCCCGTGAGCAGGGAGCCCGATTCAGGGTTTGATCCCGGGACTCTGGGATTATGACCTGATCCGCAGGCAGAGACCTTAACCCACTGAGCCACCCAGGTGTACCCTTCATCCCCCAATAAAAAAAGATTTTATTTATTTATTTGACAGAGATCACAAGTAGTCAGAAAGGCAGGCAGAGAGAGGAGGAAGCAGGCTCCCCGCTGAGCAGAGAGCCCGATGCAGGGCTTGATCCCAGGATCCTGGGATCATGATCTGAGCCGAAGACAGAGGCTTTAATCCACTGAGCCACCCAGACGTTCCCCCAATAAAACTTTTAAAGTTCAAGGTCGGGGGCACCTGGGTAGCTCAGTCGGTTGTCTCCTATTCTTGGTTTCTGTTTGGGTCTTGATCTCAGCATCTTGGGATGGAGTCCCCCCATCCAGCTATGCGTTCAGGGGCGTCTGCTTCTCTGCCTCTCTCAGCCCCTCCCCCACTCATGCACACTCTCTAAAATAAATCTAAATAAATTTATTTTTTTATTTAAAAAAAGACTGAGGGGGCGCCTGGGTGGCTCAGTGGGTTAGGCCTCTGCCTTCCGCTCAGGTCATGATCTCAGGGTCCTGGGATCCAGTCCTGCATTGGGCTCTCTGCTCAGCAGTGAGCCTGCTTCCTCCTCTCTCTGCCTGCCTCTCTGCCTACTTGTGATCTCACTCTCTCTCTCTGTCAAATAAATAAAATCTTAAAAAGATAAAAATAAAAATAAAAAAGACTGAGCCATCCAGGTGTCCCCAAAATAAATTTTTAAAAAAGGAAAAGCAAACAGAAGGTACACTTTGGGGACAGTTGTGGAAATTTTCATATGCACTCTATTTCAGATATTAGTAATTGTATAGGTTTTCTGGTTGCTGTTCTAACAAGTAACTACAAACTTGGTGATATAACACAAACTTTTCTCTTACAGTTCTGTAGGTCAGCAGTCTAAAATGAAGATGTTGCCTTCCTTCTAGAGACTTCAGAGGAGACTGTTTCCTTGCCTCATTCAGTTTCTAGAAGCTGCCTGTATGTGACACCTTCACATCACTCTCTTTTGCTTCTGTCCTGTCATCTCCTAGTTCTAACTCTGGATCCTCCTGCCTCCCTCTGTAATTATTATAAGGACTCCTGTGATTATCTCCGGTCCACCTGACTAATTCAGAATAATCTCCCCATCTCAAGACCCTTACTTTAATCACAACCACAAAATTCTTTTTACCATGTGAAGTAACATATTCACAGGTTCCAGGCATAGGATGTGGACGTATTTGGGGACCGTTACTCAGACCACCAAGATAATGATACTATAATTATGTAGGAGAATGTCCTTATTCTTAGTAGAAACATAATGTTAAGTATTTAGTGGTGACATGTCATGATATCTGAAGCTTGGTTTTTATTTTTTTACAAATATTTATTTATTTGACAGACAGAGATCACAAGGAGGCAGAGAGGCAGGCAGGCAGGCAGAGAGGAGGAAGCAGGCTCCCCACTGAGCAGAGAGCTGGATGCGGGGCTTGATCCCAGGA